AGCTGATGCCCGCACGCCTCCCTGGAGGCCAAGGGCACACACGGCCTGCCCTGCCAAGGGTCTGGCATCAGTTGGGCCTGTTCCCGGGGCAGGCGGGGGCCTGATGGTGGCCACCAAAGAGTGGGAACCCGGCCCCGCCGCCCACGGCCCTCACCAGCCCCAGCCAGCACTGCTGCAGGTTGAGGGCCGACCCCTCTCCGGGCCTGGCCCCAGCACTAGCAGCATGTGGAAAACAGCTTGGGCCCCACACACGGAGCCGGCTCCAAATTCCTGGGCGTTGGAGCGGAGAGCCCGGGATGGGACAGTCCAGCCCGGTCCGGTCCAGTCCAGTCTGGCCTGGCCCCCAGAACCGCAGCCCCCTGGGCAGCCCCCGGTGCCTTGGCCGGATGGCTGGGCCAGGGGAGGCCCGGGCGGAGGTGACCGGGAGCATCACGCCTCACCATCTCTGCCCGACCCTGCTCGCCAGCTGTCAGCCAAGTGATTTAGGTGGCCCGGGAATGCTGGTGGCGCCCGGCCCCAGCCCCCGGCTCTTTCCCCAGAACTGGCTTGGGCTTCTTGGCGGCCGGGAAGGAAGCAGCAGGCTCCAGCCTACACTGCACCATAAATCAGGGCTCAGCCCCACCCAGAGTAGCTGGGCTGGTACTAACAGTGGCCCTGTCCCTCCTGTATCCAGCCTCATCCTGTCCCTGCAGCCTTCTCAAGGGCCCGGACGGTTAAACGCCAAGCCTCAGTGTCCCCCTTGGCAGCCGGGTGGCTGCTGCCCCCCTAAGATTAACCAGGCACAGGGCCTGTGACCCGTGTCCTTGCCCTGCTGTCCTCCCACCCACCACTGCCCTGCATTGGGGATACAGGTGTCCCTGTGTACTGTTCCCAGGGACCAGGCGCCAGCTCGGCGTCACCACTGGCGCTGGGACAGTGCCCGAGCTGGCATTAAGATGAAGGCTCCAAGTTGAGATGCTGTGTCCTCCGGTGTCTTCAGCACCCGAGCCTCAGCTCTGCCATCTGGCAGATGGGCAGATGCCATGCTGCAAGGTTCCACCGAGAAAGATTGGTCTCGGGCCCTGTGGGCCTCTGCCTGACCTCCCACCCCCATCCAGCCATGCCCACCACGGCCAGCAGGGGGCACCACTCCCCACTGCCTGGCCTGGGGCTGTGCAGACAAGAACAACGCCCCAGGGTCCCTAGGTCCTGGGTCCCAGGATGGACACAGGATCAAGCCCATTCCCTTTTCGCTGCAAGCCTCCGTCTTGACACCTTTCCTCCCAGTGCAGTCTGCTTGGCCTGAAGGGAGTGTCTCGGGCCCCTGTGGACAGATCCGCTCCAGCTGCCCCTGCCACCGCAGACCCTACCATCCCGGGTCCCAGGCTCCTTGCACAGATGCTTGGGTGGAGGCCCAGGGCACAGAGCTGGGTGAGGTCACAGTCAGCAGCGCTCCCTCCCTCCCCTGTGAGATCAGGGAGCCGTGGCCCTGGTTCGCCGCCCACCCAGCCCTTTCTGGGCCGACTGCCAGGGCTGGAGTGGGCCAGCCAGGCCCCCAGCCTGCAGCCTGGGCCCCCCAGCGTGGGGCAGGAGGGGGCGGCTGCTCGCCAGTCTCCAGGGAGCCCCCAAACACAGGCCCCCTTGCCCATAAACATTTACTAGGTTGTGAGGGGCTGACATCATCCCGGTCCCACACGGCCCCATGGGGGGGGGCTCTGTCCAGAACATGTAGTCCCCCCACGATGGGGGGCCCTTCCGGAGGCCGCCCCAAGCTGGACAGAGCCTTTGCCAGCTCAGTTTGGAAGGGGACAGAGGCCCAGCAGGGGCTTTGGGACCATCAGGAGGGCTTCCTAGGGAGGCGGGTGAGCAGGAGGCAGGGGCTTTTCCAGGTGTGCCCCAGGGAGGGCATCGAGCCGGGACACTGGAGAGCCAGGACCCTGCTTCACCCTTGCAAGGTCGGGTCTGCAGGAGTGTGGGCACCACGAGGGAACCGGAACAGCAGAGCAAGATGGCGAAGGGCCGGGCACCGCCCAGTGGTGCACACAGCGGAGCACTTACTGGCCTGCGGGTCTGGGGTCCGTGCCCAGCAACCCCTCTGCACCCCCAGAAAGGACGTGGAGGGGAGCCCAGCCTGTTGGTGAATGCCTGCATTTCCACCCTTCTCAGAGGCAGAGGCAGGAGGACTGAAAGTTCAAATCCCACATGGCAAATTTAGCAGGACCTTGGCTCAAAAAATAAGGGTGGAGGCCTGGGCTTCCATCCCCAGCACCTCAGGAAAGAGCCCAGGAGGCTTTCCCACCTGCCAGGCGGCCGGGCCATCCTGGCTGGCGTTATTCTTGTACTATTATTAGCAATTGCTTGGGGATGAGAGAGCTGTTCTTTGAAAGAGTTCCCAAGTGCTCATGGCGATTGGAACAAACACGAGCCAAAGGGGAGAGGAAGGCGCTCTCTGGCCAAGCGATCCAAAAGCCAAACCATAGGTTCCTTCAGCAGCCGTGAGGAGGGCTGGGGGGCAGCTCAGGCGCGCCCCGGTTCCCTCCAGATACTTGCTTGTGGGCCAGGGATGCTCTCTGTGGAGCACTCGAGCTTCGAGAAGGCCCGGCGGGGCCTCTTGGCAGAGCCTGCCCACACCTGCCCTGGTCTGGCTCCCATCGGCCTTCACCCGGACCGGCAAAGTCTCCGCTGTCGCCTCTCAGTCTGTCCTCCCGCAGTAGCCGCCAGGGGGCGCCGTGAGAGTCGGACCCTCCGCCTCTGCCCTCCACAGCTCCCACCTTCCTGGGCCAAAGCCCAAGTCCTCCCTGCAGCCCACAGGGCCGTGCAAGGCCACTGTCCCTTCCTCCCTCTCCCCCTGACTCTTTTCCTGCATCTTGGCTCTGTGCTGCCCCAGAGCCTTTGCACAGCTGTGTCCTCTGCCTGGAATTCTCTTCCCTCGGACACCCCTACAGCTTCTCCCTCCATATCTCTAGTTCTCACCTGAAATGTCACCTCCCCCAGCGAGTTGCACTCCACACCCCTCTGGTTCTAGCATTGCCTATAGCCATTCCTGCTTCTAAACCTCAGGTCCCTGACATTAGACGTTGTCCAATGCGTGTCACTTAGCAGACCTCCCCGGCGGCCAGACTGGATCCTGGCTATTGCGTCCCTGGTTCTGTCCGGCACCCAGCGTGGCTAGGCAGATGCATGGGACTGGTGAATGGATGGACGATGCATCTCCAGGAGAGTTGGGTAAGGCCACAGCCTGCCAGCCCTGCCCCGCCCTGAAGGTGATGGCTGCGGGGACAGAAGCCGTCTCCACCCAAGGACTCCGAGCTGCCAGCCTGCACCAGCGAACGTGACTTCGGGAGTCCCCGCCTTTCCCCAGGGCTCAGTCTGGAGCGGAGTGAGATGTGGTCAACATGAACAAAGCCAGGCTTGGTGCGCATACCTGTCATCCCAGTACTCGTGAGAGGCTGAGACAGGAGGATCCCAAGTCCAAGCTCAGCCTCAACAACTTTGCAAATTAGTGAGACCTTGTCTCAAGAAAGGGCCAGGAATGTAGCCCAGAGCGAAGGCCCCAGGTTCCACCCCCAGTGTGGCAGGAGGAGGGCAGAATCCCTAGGGTGTCACAACAAGCAGAGGCTGACGGGAAGCAGGTTGTCCAGGCTGGGACCTTCAGACTGCGTCAGGCAGCCTGAGCTTCAAAGCCCGAAGCCAGTTCGGATATTGCTTGGGGGCCAGGATTTGCCACCCCTAATGCGCCCTGCTTGACATCTGAGTCTCCAAACTCAGTGAAGCCACCGGGCCCTGGTCACGGGTCACCTGGGGCCGCCAGTGGGTGAGCCACTTCACTTGTCAGAATGTGGGCACCGTGGGAGGCCTGATGGGGTCCCCAGCCCAGCTGCTGGCGCTCAGGGGTCCATGGAGCCGTGGGCTGTCAGGCCTGGCTGATCAGAGCAGTGAGGGGAAGGCGTGAGCCAGGCCCAGGGCAGGGCTGCGGAGGGAGCGGTGTGTCCCACCCACCCCGGCTGCCATCCTCCCGTCTCTTAAAACGCTACACACTCATTTTGCTCGTTTTCACAGCAGTCTCCCTAAAATACAGTGTATAGCTTTTTTTACCCTGATAGGTAAAACAAACCCAGGCCACCGAATTCAGAAGATCCCAAAAGGTGTGGAGAATCCCAGCCCCCACATGATGGCCCCCCAGAGGCCACCTGCCAGCCCACTTTCTCATTTCTCCTTTTCACTGTTTTGTGCCAAAACAGTGACTATTTTCTCTTCTGCCACGGAAACTGTATCATGTCCCCACCTCTGCATCCAAAGTTTTCAGTCTGGTGGACACTTTCCTCCCCCTCCTCCCCTTCCCAGCAGTGTAATATTCCATCATGTGGCTGGATGCCCCCCATTGTTCCAGGACGTCGCTGCACAAAGACCTCCTGAGTAGCTGGGGTGACGAGTGCCCCCATGCGTTCGTATAGACGCAGTGTTTTCCTGCCTAAGACCACCCTGTGGGCCTGTCCACCTAGTCATCTCTTCCTCCCACAGGGACAAATGATCTTTCCCTGTGTCCTTAGCTTTTCCCAGAGCATCACGCCCTTGGAATCATACCATGCAGCATTTTCAGATTGTTCATTTTTTAATTTAATAATGTGTATTTAGCC